CTCACCAATTCCCTTCTGTGCCCCCGTGATGAACTTATAGGCAGCCACAAAGTCGCCTCTCAACCTTCTCTTGCGGAGGCTGAAGAGGTCCAGGTGCCCCAGTCTCTCCTCATAGGGCTTGGCCTGCAAGCCCTTAACCATACGAGCGGCCCTTCTCTGGACCCTCTCCAGGTTATCCACATCCCTCTTGAAGTGCGGCGCCCAAAATTGCACACAGTACTCCAACTGCGGTCTGACCAGCGCCCGATAGAGGGGAAGTATCACCTCCTTGGATCTGTTCGTCATGCATCTGCTGATGCACGATAAAGTGCCATTGGCTTTTCTGATGGCTTCGTCAATCTGCCGACTCATGTTCATCTTGGAGTCCACTAGGACTCCAAGATCCCTTTCCACTTCCGTGCCACCCAGCAGGTCATTCCCTAGGCTGTAGGTATGCTGGACATTTTTCCTCCCTAGGTGCAGCACTTTGCATTTCTCCTTGTTGAATTGCATTCTACAATTTAGGGGCCCACGTCCCACAACATGCCCCTGCCCTGCGCAGCGTTGCCAACTTGCGTGGCTTTCTGGTGTTGTTCTTAAAACCTACACTTTGGGAGCGTGAAAAATTTAGCTTTCTTTTATAGATATTATTTATATTTAGGCGTCTATAAAAGCAAGTAAAGTTTTTCACAGACTTGAAGATCAACACCCAAAACTGTGAGAGTTGGCCGCACTGCCTCCACTCCCTTCGGGAATCGGTGACCCCTGCCCTCCCCAGTGTCTCCTCTGGTGCTGGGGTCTCCCTCACTTCATAGGTTCATAGGCTGTCGGGGGCTGGAAGGGCCCTTGCAGATCCTCAGGTCCAGCCCCCCCTGCTCTGGGCAGGGAGACAACTGGGGTTAGGTGACCCCCAGCGAGGGGAGTGTCCAGTCTCCTCTTGAAAACCTTCTCCCTGCCTGAGTCCAGACTTGCAGCAGCCAGGCATGGGGAAAGGAGCTGGGAGCCAGGGCACACCCCTGTTTCCAGGCATGGGTAGCTGGCAGCTGCCCCCAGCAAGAGCAAAGCTGGGGAGACTCTGAGGCACAGCTGGGGGGGAGGAGAAAGCACAGATACCCCCATCCCAGCACCCCCACTGGGGAGCAGGGGGTCCCAATGCCACCCAGGGGATGGCTAAGAGCATGCAAATCCCAAGTTGTTCAGAGTCTTTTTGCTCCAGAGGCTAAAGCAGAGCCCTGAGCATAGGGCACCCAGGGCTGGACAGGGTGGGAGGCTCTGATGCATGGGAGAAACCATACCCTATGCAACAGCACTGACTGCAGCCACCCTCCAGGGCCGCCCTCATGCACAGCTGCCTCCCTGGAGCTGCACTGCACCCCACGCAGATCCCACCCACCCCCATCACCATCAGGCAGGACCCATGTGTGCGGGGAGGCTGGTGTTTAATCACAGAGAACAAGCAGATAAGGCTTGGAGGTGAGGGGCACAGTCCCTGACACGCAGCTCCATCAGGTTGGATGATGCCACGACCCCATCCATCTGCGGCAAAAGGGACTCGTGGTCTCACGACTGTCGCCCGTGCGTACACCTGGGATCCAGCATGGCCCATGGGGTTCCCAACCCATGCTCCAGGGGCTCCCATGGGGGCTGGCAAGTTGCTTGTTGCATCCCTTGGGGAACGGGCCTTCCCAGGGCTGGGGCTGGGGCTGGAGCAGAGGAAGAACAAGCTGGCCCTGGCTTCAGCGCTCCAGCTGCCAGCTACCTTCCTGGCTGCTGAAACAAGGCACAGGCTGAGAGGTAGCTCCAGTCAGACACGGGAAGGAGGTCTATGTGCCAGGGAGACCCCTGAGGCAGGCCCATCACAGTGATCTCTTGGTCCCTGTTAGTAGGTGCTCCATGGAGGGGATTAAGGCAGGGGACTGGTCCCCAGTGGGAGGTTAAGGCAGGGGACCGGTCCCAGCAAGCAGAGCTGGAAAAGCAGAGCTATGTGACCAAGTCACGGCCAGGCGGGAGGGTTTTTTGCCCAGACAGTGGGGTCCTCCCCTGTCGAGCACCCATCCCCGAGGCAGCACCCAGTGCCCAGAAGCCCCCCGGGGAGAGGAACAGGGCTGCAGCAGGTCCATCCTCATCTCCTCCTTGCTTTCCGTGTCTCCAGGGCCCGTCATGGCCAGGTCAGCTGGGCCCTTGCCTCGGGCCTGGCTGGAGAAACTGGAGGTGCTGAGGCAGCTTCCTTGTGGTCCCCGCTGGGGCGAGAGGGTGGGTGCGCTGGTCACACGGGGGCAACGTAATTGCCAGGGAAAGTGCCGAATTTCTGGGTTCTTCTGGACACGCCTGGAGCAGGGGGACAAAAGGATGGACCTGAGGGGTGGCTTGGAGCTTGCCCTGCCAAAACCAGCCCCTTCTGGCTCAGGGGGCTGCCAAAGGGCCCCTGGCCAGTGCTCTGTCCTGCTTGCATTTCCTGCCCCCCGCAGCCGTCTCTCCCTCCCTGCCCCATGGGTTTCCACGTACCCACAAACCAGCCATCATCACACTGCTGCATGACGTCCACCTGGTCACCCTCACGCAGCTCCAGCTCGTCCTCATTCTGGGGCTTGTACTGGTAAAGTGCCCGGTACCTGCAAGGCACCAGCTGCCCATCAAGCCCTTGGTCCTGCCATGGGGCAGGGCATGGGCTGAGCCTGACATGGCTGCTGCCAGGAACCGCACAGCACCTGGGACATTAGCAGTACCCTGTCCCTGCCTCCTCCCGCCAGCCAGCTCCTTGTTCCCTGCTCCCCAGGGCTGCTTTGCCCCTGAGCGGGGGGTTGCAGTGCCAGGGTGAGAGCCAGGTACGGCTGCCAGTTGCATCCGCTGAGCGCACCACTGTGAAAAGGCCCTTGTTCGGGGGAACAATCCCGACACTGTCCCAGCCCCACACCCCAGGGGGCTGTCTGCAACCAGCCCGCGGCACGGGTCACTTCACCCGGGCGGCCTGGCTGGCTTCCAAGTGGAGTAGGGGGTCCCAGTTCCCCTCCCTCCCTGCTGTGCCAGCCCCTCCTCTGCTGCTTCTCTGCGAGATGGGGCCACTCGCTGCACTTACCGCGTCCACTGGATGTTGGAGCCATTGCTGGATGGGGAAGCCACGGGGCAGGAGCTGGCAGGTCCTGAGGTCTGGAGGGCAGAGCTCTGCGGGGAGACGGGGGCCCCAACCGGCAAGGAAGGCACCACCGGCTGCTGAGTCTCCTGCAGCCGGCAGGGTGACAGTGGCTGTGGGCTCCTGGGACCCAGGCTCTGGGTGGAGAGCAAGGCAGCACCTCCAGAGGCCAGTGGGAGACTCTGAGGGAGGCTGGGTGATGCTCCAGCATGCTGCAGTTTCGGGGAGCTTGGGAAAGTGAAGCCAAAGTGGTGCGGGGAGGAGGAGAGAGCGGTCCCCTCTGCACCGCGCCGCTGGGCTGAGGGAGAGCCTGAGACCAATGGGGGTGAGGGGCTGGCATGCCAGCTGTTGGGCGCACACCGCTGGAGTGGGGAGCTGGCATGGGCCAGCGGGCCTGGGGACAGAGGCAGGGCCGGGCCAGGGGAGGAGGGGAACTCCTCTGAGGCCTTGACACGCGGCTCCTTCACCACCTGCACGTAGGTAGCCGGGAAGATGCCCTGGCGGTTGGTGCCAGAGATGCGCCCCTCATACCAGTTCTCGTCCACCCTGCGGACCAGGCAAATGCGCTCACCCTGGGGGAGGCAAAGGAAAGGCAGCGGGTCAGGCACCTGGCAGTACCAGGCTCCACCCTTCCCACTCACACCAGTCTAGCCCAGCATCCACCAGCACCCCAGGTGGGTCTATCCAGCCCAGCCCCTGATATCCTACCCCCCTGGGCTGTCCCGGCCTGCATCCTGCCTAGGGCAGTGCAGAGTCCAGCATGCCTGGCTCTGCAATGCTGAGCATGGAGCAGAGCTTCTGCCTGACCCCTGTCAGTGAGATGCATGGGCCCTGGAGCATGAGGATGGAGGGGCCACGCTCGCATCACCCCAGAGAGGGCCAAACATGCCTTTTTGCAAGGGAATTCAGGGCTGGTGCATGGCTAACCTGGCAGGCAGGAGGCCAAAGCTTGAGCCAGCACTGGAGGGGAGAGCTCAGCCTCTGGGCTATATCCAGGGTCTGTCTATAAGGCAGTTCGCTGCCAGTCCAGGAGCTGGGCTGAGGCCCCCCAACTCGTGACAGACATGTAGATGCAGGCTGCCAGCCTGAACAGGCTTCGAAGCAGGTCACATCCTGCAGCCCCGCGGTCTGGCACCCAGCAGGCCCCTACCTTACGGAAGGACAGCTCTACCGGCAGGTCCCCTTTGAAGCCGTACAGTGCCAGGGCCTCCCCGTACTCCAGCACCTGGAAGGTTGGGGGCTTGATGGGCTTGGGGGCTTCTGTGGGAGGCAGGACCTGTTGGGGAGAGACAGGAGCAAGTGAGTAGAGCCCGTGAGTGACAGCAGTGGTGGGGACGGCTGCCCGGCCTCACAGCTGCCAGGGTGGGGGGTGGAGGCTGGCACCTTCTGGGGACTCCGAGGGTGGGGGGTGGCGGGGTTAACTCTGCTGGTGCTTCTGCCAGCAATCAATGGAAGGGGAATAGCAGCTGCCCAGTCCACCCCAGCACCGCAGGCACAGCCCAGTTTAGCAAGCCAAGCCTGTTCACCACAGCTGCTCTGTTTGGGAGAGGAAGGGGCTGTACAGTACCAGGGATGGGGATGTTGGGACCCCAGGCATGGCTCAGGTCTGAGCAGCATGGTCAGAAACACGTGGCACTATCAGACAGTGGCACAGGCGTTCAGAAGCGGGCACAATCCCAGGACTGGCCACGAGAGGGCGTGCCCTTCTCACTCCCTGGGCCAGCCCCAAGCGGGGCTAAGCTGAGCAGGCTGGGTGGCATGCACCTTGTGGCACTGATGCCCCAGGCACACAGGCATCGTGTTGGGAAAGCAGGAGGCTTGTCTACTCCTCTTTACCCCTCCCGGACCCTGGTCTGTACAGCGATGCCCCCCCACCCTGCTCACCTCCACGTAGTTGGACGGGAAGATGCCCAGCCTGCCATGGTGCTCACCCTCCAGCCAGTTCCTATCCACCTCCTTGTGGATGTAGACAATGTCGCCCTTCTGCAGTGTCAGCTCTCTGCAAGACCATGGGCAGTGTGACCACCCACTGCCACCCTCCACTCCCAGATCCCCACCCAGGGCTCCTGGCTCCTCCAGCACCCAGGAACAAGGCTGCCTTAGCTCCTTGGTTCTGGCATGTGCCCTGGCTTCTGCCCCCATGTCCCGGAGGTGCTTGGATACCAGGGGCTTTCCCAGCTCCCACGGGTGGGGAATGTCCATGCTGATAACCTGTTGCCCCTTCTCCTAAGCCTCACTTTCCAGGCCTCAACCAGCTTCCCTGAAAGCTGAGCTGTGCCCTGAATCCCTCTTCCCACCTGTGCCACTAGCCAGGCTCAGTACTGCGCTGCAAAAAGGGGCGCAGTGAGGGCATCAGGCTGTTCTGCTACTCCGAAGGCAGCCCCCAACCTTGAATGGGTCCAGGTCGCTTGGGCTGGGGAGTGGTGAGTGGCTGGATGTGGCACGGGCCACAAGGTTATCACATCTGCCACTGCCACTGGAGATGGACCTTTTTGCATCTGAACTCCTGTAAAGCTGGGGGCTGTTCCCTTCCCTGGGAGAGACCCCATGGGGGTGGGAGGAAGACGAGGTCCCTGCCCTTTGCACAGGCCCCCAAACGTGCACCCTGGGCTGCCCCACCCGACCAGGAGCCACTTACTTTGGGGACTCAGCTTGGAAGTTGAACTTGACACGAGCGGCTTTCATCTGCACGAGTGGGTGAGGAGGGAAATGCCATGAGACATACGAGCAGGGGTCCAGGGCACCAGCCTGCTCTCCCCAACACCTGCCCCGCAGGGCTCCACCCAGGGCTGTGCCTGCCACCACCTGGGCAGCCACTGACTCCCAAGGCAGACCCAGAGCCCACCTCCTGCTTGGCCCCAGGGCTACTGGAAGGCCTGGAGAGAGGCTGCACCCATTACCAACTTGCTGCCCTCTCTCCCCTCTTGTCCTCCTTGCCCTCGAGTGGGCACAGCACCCCCTGTGCATGCTCCACAAGCCCCCAGCAGACACAGGTTCTTCAGGACCTGGCCGTGCCTCACCTTCTTCTCCTCTCTCTTCACTGGCCCATCCAGCTCAGCCAGGGCCTGAACCCCATCAGCCAAAGAGCTGTTCCCAGGATGCTGCGGGGAGTCTGCGGAGAACCAGAGAAGCGGGAGGTTACGTGTGGGAAGGGCACAGCACCAGTGACACAAAGCCCTGGCAGCTCTGGGGTGGGGGCTGGAGAAGGGAGCAGAGAGAGGGGCTCCAAGAAGGACAGGCCAGGCCAGGCCAGGGCAAGGGGACCCTGCAGTCCCCCCAGGACACACAAGCACATACCTTTCCAGGTGGGCGAGCTGCTCCAGTCCACCGGGGCTAAACCCAGGCCCCCTCTCTCCATGCTGGGGCTGGCAGGTGGGTAGCGTCGGGCAGCCAGCGGGCTCTGCCCCAAGGCTGGGTCAGCACGGCGGGCGCACTGCGGGCTGCTGCAGGGGGAAGTGAGAGGTGCTACAGGAAACCCCACACAGCTAAGTCTTCCCCAACCAGCTTCAGCGAGGGCTCCTTGGGCTCAAGGTCACCCTCCAGGCAGGCTCCACATCCCTACCCCTGTGCACATGCAAGCTCCACAGCTGAAACACGTCATCCCCTGCCCCGGGCCCTAGCAGCTGCAAGACGCCACAGGGCATGGGGTGCAGTGACTAGTGTGGGGGCCGGGAGCCACGACCCCTGGGTTCTGCTCCAGCTCTGGAAAGGGCATGGCTAACCTGGCAGTCACGGTTGCCTCTTTATAGGGGTGTGGCGATTATGGTGGTGGGGCAGGAGGCAGGACCCTGCTGTACCCAGAGGGACAGTCTGGAGGTGCCAGGCAGGTTCCAGCCCCTCTGAGCAGCTGGCACCACAGCTCGATCCATCTCCCTCCCCAGCATGGGGGTGTTGCCAGGAGCAGCTTGCACAGGGTACGTTACAGCTGGGTTTCATTTCCCCACCCAGCCCAGCCCGTGGAAACCCAGCCAAGGGCCTGCGAGCGTCGACCCAATCGCAGGAGCTGCCGAGGGGGAGTTGCCAGGCCGCACGCAGCGCCAACCTGCCTGCCAGAGCCACAGCCCCGGTCCGCGCCAGACCCCTGCTCCCCTGCACTTTCCTTCCTGGTGCCGGCCCCTCCTTCCACCCTGCGTCCAGACACGACTCCTGGGTTCCTGGGCAGCTCTGGGACAAGGGGGGGGCGGCAGAGGGGGCTGGGAGCCAGGACTCCTGGGTTGCGCCCCAACACCAGGAGGCAGGAGTACAGAGATCAGAGCTGGGGGGCAGACCCAGGACTCCTGGGTTGCGCCCCAACACCAGGAGGCAGGAGTACAGAGATCAGAGCTGGGGGGCAGACCCAGGACTCCTGGGTTGCGCCCCAACACCAGGAGGCAGGAGTACAGAGATCAGAGCTGGGGGGCAGACCCAGGACTCCTGGGTTGCGCCCCAACACCAGGAGGCAGGAGTACAGAGATCAGAGCTGGGGGGCAGACCCAGGACTCCTGGGTTGCGCCCCAACACCAGGAGGCAGGAGTACAGAGATCAGAGCTGGGGGGCAGACCCAGGACTCCTGGGTTTCATCCCAAGCTCTGGGAGCCACGTGGGGCCTGGGTTCCTGCCGTGCCTGTGCCCGTGCCCCAGCCCCATCTATCTGCCTGAAAGCAGAGCCCTGGCACCAGGGTGAGTACAAAGTCTCCTTCTGCCCCAGCAAGCGGCCCCCTGCCCTGCTTTGCAGGAAGCAGCAAGGAGCTGGCAGGAAAACAGCCCTTGGCTAAACTTTAACTTTGTCTCAAGAGCTCTTAAAAGGGCAACACCCCCTGCCCCGCCCCCCCCCACACACACACACCCTGTGGGGAGCACCCAGCTCTGTGCCCCTGCTCCTCCCCTGTTTCTCTCCTGACTCATTCCTGTACCACAGCCCCCAGGGAGGAAACCAAATGCAAGGCACAGGTCCTTGTGGGCCCCCCATGCCCCCTGTTTACAGTAGGACCTACAAGAAGTCCAGCACGTGCTTCCTAGACCCCTGGCTGCAGGTGCAGAGCCTGAGGCTCCTCAGGGAAATCTCCCGCGGTTTCGGCTCTAACCCTTACCCCCTTGATGGAGGCTGAATGAGCCACTGGTTGCAAGAGGGGAACAGGCCCAGGTCCCCCACACACAGCCACCTCCTTCTGAAGGACAGGCTGGGAACCCAGTGCAAAGGTACCGGCTCAGTGTGGAGCTGGGCTGGGCAGGATGCTGTCCCCCAGCAGCAAGCCCCTGTGCTAGGGGACAGCACCCGGTGAGGGGCAGGCCTGACAGCATGCAGCCCCCATGGGCAGCCACGCTTGCCCGGCACTGCACACACCCTGGGCAGCCCTCCTGGAGGGCTGCAGCACCCACGGGGCAGCATGCTCACATGTATATAGGTGCCCGGCAAGCCCTTCCCAGCCCCAGGGAAGCAGCCATGTTGAAAAGCAGCCCACTCTGGGTGCGGCTCCGAGTCCCGTGCTGCCTGTCTCTGTCCAGAGGTCATTTGCCAGCCAGCGCCCTGTTACACCCCTGCCCACGGCTGCTACACACAGCACCACGTCCCGTCCCACCCCACCCCACCCCGCTGACGCTCTCAGACCCCTTCCCAAGGGCCCCAGAGCACAGGCAAGAGGCCATCGTGTTGATCAGCCTCCTCTCCTCTCCTGTCCTGCGCCCTCCTTCCAGGCTCCACTCCTTCAGCTCCTCCTTCACCCGCTTCCTCCCTCTCCCCACTCCCGGCCTCAGCGTCTGCTGGCGCTCCCCAACCCAAGCTGCTTGGGGGATGGCGCCTGCCCCACCTGGGCAGGGGCTTGTGCCCACCCTGCAGCCCCTCACCCTGGCCCTACTCACCGGCTGGCAGAGGCCGGGGCAGGGGAGCAGGCAGCCAGCACCTCCGGCGAGCGCTGCGGGGAGAGGGGAAGAGGAGATGAAGCATCCAGGAGGCTGAGCCTGGCGGGAAGCGAGGGAGTTGGACTCCTGGCAGAAAGGAGCCAATAAAGAGCCAGCCAGTGGGGAGAGCCGGCCGGCTGAGCCCAGCAGCAAGGAGAGCCAGCCCCGGGAGGCTGGGGTCCTAGTGTCCAACAGCCCGGCCAGGGCAGCGACAGGCACAGGCTCCCACACTCCCAGAGCCAGGGGGCACCCGCTGGGTGGACAGACAGATGGACAGAGCACTAGACTGCAGCTGGTGTGAATCAGCTCAGCCCCAGGGGGTTGGAGGAAGATAGACAGATGGATGGACGTAGAGCCAGACCTCAGCTGGGGTGAATCAGCACTGCTGTCTGGGATAGGGGCGGGGGTCTGGTGGGCAGACAGAGGGCCAAACCCCGGCTGGCATGGATCAGTGGGGCTGGGGGGAGGCAGGAGGACAGACAGATGGACAGGCTGGGACAGACAGGCAGGGCAGATGGGAGGAAATGACTGATTTGGAGCATCCTGGAAATGCTGTGCTGGAAATCGATCCTGCTGCTGACCAGACCAGGGGGAGGGGTGGGGGAGGGTGGTTCAGGGGGCCTGGTTGGGGCAGTTGAGGGCTTTGAGACTGGTTCTTCCTATTGGGATGAGGGTGGAAGGAAAGGAGCAGGAAGCGTGGACAGACAGACAGGCAGCATCTAGGTGCCGAGATCCTGGGGTCACGGTTGCCATACAGGCACCACACATGCTTTCTGGAGGTGAAAGGCCCCCAGTAGGCAGAGCCTGCCTGCCCATGCCAGCCCTGCCCCCAAGCACCCACTGCTGTGCCAAGGGGTGGTGAGAAGGACCTGGCTCTGGGGACGCAGGAGGCAAAGGCACTGGCGGCTGGGCTGGGGACCCAGCCCAGCAAGGTGTGACCCGGTCCAGCTGCCCACCATGCGTAGGGTGCCCCCACCTTGCCAGGCTGCTGACGGGCCTCCATGGCTCTCATGTCCTTGTCCAGCTGCCTGCTCAGCTGCTCCAGCTCCCTCTCCAGCTGCACCTGGGGGGCAGGCAGAGGCTGATCATCACTTGCCGGGCACAGCTCCTGGCACCACCAGTGGCACAAAACACAACACTGACATGGGATGCTGCCAGGGGAAGCGATCGCTTGTATGGCCATGGGGTGCTAGTCTCAGGGTTAGGTCCACACAGTGCAGGGCTGCCCCAGTAAGGAGGTGCCAGGGTACCACGGTGTCAAGGGCAGAGATGCCTGGCTCCCAACAGTAGGGACACCATTGCAGAGGGGAGGGTAATGCACATCACACAGTCCAGAAAAGGGCAAGGGCCCCTGGCACCAGAGATTTTGCCACTCCCCAGCGTGGAGATCCTAAGGTGCCCCAGGGCAAGGCAGCCATGGGTGCAGGGGAGCTGTGCCAACCCCGGCACCTCTCGCCTGCATGGCACAGCCCTTTGCTCACAGCCTGCAGCAGGACGCTTGACCTCCCGGGCTGGGGAGGGGCCTGGAGACAGGAAACAACAAACTGCTGGCTCCATGGAAGCCAGTAAACACAGCTGCAAGCCCCCGAGCAAGGGCCCGTCGGGGCCCATGCAGGGAGCGGGGCCTAGCAGCCTGACCCACCCTCCCACGCTTGGACTCAGAGGCAGCCGGCACATGCAGGGGGATGGAAGTGGCCTGCCCCACACCTGCCCTGTGGCCTGGCACTCACCTCGATGGGCTGGGATGGCGGGCGCCGCTCCACAGGAGACTCGGCCAGGCGCTTCCTGGGCTGCAAAGGGACGGATCAGCATTGGAGCCCTGTGTTGCCCGTGGCCCCGCTGCCTGCCCTCCACGGAGCCCACTGACCCTTCTGCTGCCCCTCTCTTCCCCATCCCATGGGGTCAGGTGTCCTGTCTGGGAGGGGGTCTGGTGCGAGGGGCAGACACACCCACAGGGCTGGGGCAGGCAGTGCCTACATGGTCTCACAGTACTCCTAGGACTGGTGCAAAGGGCAGCAGCTTCTCCCTGCTGGGTGTGATGGGAGCTGGGCACCTCCTCTCTGCCAGCCTACACATGTGCTCATGCTGGGAGCAGCCTTGGGGCCTCCACAGCTGCAGCAGAGAAGCTCTACTGCATCCCCGTGTAAGGCAGATGGGGCCTTGAACGGAGGAAGAAGGCAGCAGCCTTGGTCTGGCGGGAGAACCATCTCCAGAGGTGGCTATGGCAAGGGCTGGAGCAGGGGGAGAAGACCCCAAAATCCAGGATGCCCTGGGGCCAAAGGCCCCCAAGAATCCTTACCAGGCTCCCAGTCTCCAGCTCCTGCAGAAACTGGTACCAGCTGTCAGCACTTCCTGAGTGGGGCTCTGCTGCCTGGAGAGGGACAGGGTGGGCCACCTGAGCACGGTCCTGCCCCGGGGCCCTACCTGCCCCAGCTTATGCTACACAGGGTCCCAGAGCACACCTACATGCCAGCATCCAGCACGTGCATCCCACCAGCCAGCTCCAGGCTGCCCAGGGCCTCGTGTGCCCAGCCACATGCACATCACATATGCACACACACTGCTGAACACATGCATGCACAGCCTGATCCCTGCACATGTGTACCGGTGCGAGGCATGCACACACATCATGGCCACACTCCCGTCTGCCTGCAGTCACACTGTGCACAGCACCTCTCCCAACGTAGTCAGGTACTGTCATGCAGGGACAGCTTGGGGCCCCACTCAGGGGATGGATCCAGCACGGATCCTAGTGTGCCCCCACCCTGCTCCTGAGAGCCCCAGGCCCCATGGGTCCTAATGGCCCGTGGGGATCCTTGAAGAGGGAAATGCTGCGTCCTCCCGCCATGCCTCCATGGTCCCCCGCCCAGACCCCGCTGCTGCAGCAGGGCAGGGGCAGGCTGAGGGCTCCCAGCCTCGGCCCTGGGCAGTGCCTGGGGGGAGGCTCCTCACCGGGGCAGGGTGGTCGAGAACAGACGACTTCCCGGGCTCATAGTCAAAAATGCTCCTGGGCTCCATTGCAGCCACGTCACAGCCCCTCCTGTAGGGGGGCAAGCCGGTGAGCAGGGGCTGCCCACGACCAACGCCAAGCAGACTCCAGCAGCGTGGCTGAAGTCCAGGGCACCCTCTCTCACTGGCGCCACCTGCCATGGCAGCGTCCTGCCCCTCCTACAGCATGCCTGCCTGCTCCCTGCTCTTCCCAGCCCTGGGGGGACTGGCAGGAGCCGCAGGCTGCCCAGGTCACTGCTGAGTCTGTAGCAATACTGCTTGTGTCCGATTCCCAGCTGGCTTCACCCCAGCATCCAGTGGGGAGCAGGGCAGCACTCAAGGGGCTGCTACAGACACGAACACTTGCCCTGTCACATCCTGCTAGCACTGGTTTCTGCTGATGCAACTGGACCTGAGGACTGGGACAGCGGTGCGTGCTGGGCAAGTGAGCGCTGAGGGGTCTCAGCACCACGGCTTTCAGGGCCACGGCTGTAAGGCAGCATTATCCACAAGGGGGCACCCGACAGCTGCAGAGACCCACGGGGGAGGGTCCCTGGAGGCAGCGGGTGCCGAGACCGGCGTCTCGGCCTGCAATGCAAGGGCTGTGCCATGGCTGAACAGGCCTCCCCGCTGCGGGCAGGAGCATTCAGCCCCAGTCTGATGCCATCGGTGCCCTGCTCAGAGACAAGGGCTACTGCTGTCCCCATCTGCAGGGGAGGCACACAAACACACTTCGCTCCCCACGCCGGGCGAGAGGTTATCATTAGAGGAGCTCCTATCCTGGGCTCCAGGGACAGACCCCCACCCCTGTTTTGGGAAGGTGTGATGGGACCAGCCTGCCTGGACACATAGGGAATGAAACCCCAAAGGGGACAGGACAATGCTCCCTCCCACCCCGTGTGGACCCCCCATACCCGCACTCACCAGTCCAGGCCGTTCTGCAGCGTCAGGCCCTTTTTCGCAAGCCCCGGAGGCTGCAGATCTGGTGGGGACAGAGACAGTCAGGTCAGGTGCCAGTGCAGAAAGGGCTTCAGGACAGATGCCTTGATGCACAGACCTATGGACAAGGGAGTGTGCAGCCCCCCAGCACTCTTCCCCTGGAGCCCAGCCCCTGCCCTAGCTCACCCAGCATGCAGGACACCCCTCCAGGGGTGTCCCCTGTACAGTCCCCAAGCTCTGCCCAGACCCACATCCCCCTCAGCAGACCCCAGGGCCCACCTGTGGAGCTGCGGGGGGACTCCCAGTCCAGCTGTGGCTCTGCAAGGAGGAGAATGGCATGAGCAGTTTTTCCAGGGAGCAGGGGCCCCAGTGCGCCAGCACATGCAGATTACAAAGGGATCAGCCCCTCCATCTGGGCCCCTTCCTACCCTGGGACGTGGCCTCCTTTCCCCAGCCCAGTCAGCAGGAGACGAGAGACCCATCCCCAGCTGGAATCAGGCTGTCCCTGGCCCAGCTCACAAGGGGTTTTGGAAGCCGAGACGTGGCCAGCGACAGGCGCAGAGGAGGGGCGTCTGTGCGTGCCTGAGGAATCAGCTTCTGAGCTGTGTAGCAGGCTGAGCAGACACGTGGCGGGGAGCTAGGAGCCTGAAAGGCCCCCACACACCAAGAGCAGGAGGAGGCAGGTGCAGCCACTCTTGCCCCTTCCAAGAACATCTTACCCGAGAGCTTGCCATGGATCTGCTGGAACATGCTCCGGTACCAGTCCCGCGGCTTGTCCACACTCTGCCCAGGGGAGCAAACACACCAGGCATCAGCTTGGGAGCAAGGAGGGGAGCAGAGAGCTAGAGCAGGCCAGAGTGCCATCGCTGGGGTGATGGCAGGAGCACAGGCCTGGCTCCAGGTCCAGCTGGATTAACCGCGTACCCCAAACACCCACTCCTATGGCCCCATGCCCCTTGGACCCAGGCTGGGATGCTGCCACTAGCAGCCCCTGCCCTGCTCCTTACAGCACAACCCCCTCCCCAAGCATTGCACTGGGAAGGTGGGATCAAAGCATCCCTGCACCCCAGCTCAGCCCTGGGTCTCCAGGGGCTGCTGAGATCGACTTACAGATCGTGAGGCAATGGGCATCCCCGTCTCATCCACCGGCCCGATGCCATCGTACTTCACCCAGCGCTTGTTCTTCCTCTTACTGTCCTTGGTCCACGTGGCCGACCAGCCGGCTGGCCGGGGGGCCATGGCAGGCACCCGTGCCATGCCGTTCTCCATGGGGTGACGTGCAGGGCCAGCCAGGCTGGGCCGTGGCAGCGTGGAGGTGCCTGGTGCCTTCAGCTCTTTGTCAGGCCAGGTTTGGTACCAGTCACTCTCTGAAGGAGACACAGGGCTTGTGGGCTATGCAATGCCAGCAGGGTGGACTGCTGGACCCACGGCCCCATGCAGCTGCTGGACAGACAGCCACGGCATGGCCCTACCCACCACCAACATCCTGAAAGCACCCTGCCCGTGGCCCTGCATAGGGAGCTCAGCTGGGTGCAGATGGCAGCCCAGAGAGAGGCACCAAGGCAGCTGCCCACTGGGATGTGAGACTCAGGCAAGCCCCAGTGGGCACCAGCAATGGGGCTGGGGTTTGATCCAAAGGGGAGTCTCCCGGGGCCCTCTGGGGAGAAGGTGCCTGGTCATAAGCCAACGCCACGGAGTGCTGTGCCTTGGTAGTTACCAGGGCTTCTTGGGGCTGTCCCCCACTGCTCAGGGGTGCTGTGGCACACCGTGCGTGGTGCCGTGTCATGGAAGTCGAAGTTCAGGGTGTTGGAGCCGCCATCCCGGATCATGGGCACCTGCAGGGAGGGAGACCATGCATGGGCTGCTCTGAGCAGTGCGGACGGGCACCGGTTGGCCCCTCCACTTGCAGTGCGAGGTCCTGGCCACCCCACAGCCACCCCCTGGAGCCAGGGGAGAGAAGTCCAGCCCCTGCCTATAGCGCAGTCTCTGCTTTGCAGCCCCTGATGGTCGCCCTGGGCACAGAGCAGCTCTGGTTGCTGCCCTGCTCATCCAGGCCCTACCCCTTGGGGTAAGCAGTGCCATCATCCCTGTTGCCAGGGCTGGGCACGCTGCCCCCGACCAGCCCTGCTCACCCTTGTCACTCGGCAGCGCAGCGGGGTCCATGTAGGCTGTGGCGTGGACGTGGCCCTGGGAGAAGCCAGGGGGCTGGTGGCGGACAGCTCCTTCTGGAGGTGGGGCGGGATGAAGTCATCCAGGCTGAGCCCCCGCAGGGAGCTCGGTGCCCCAGGGGCCTGCAGTGAGGAGAGGCTGGAGGCCGAGGACCCATTGCCTGCTAGGAGGGGGCTCCCCATGGCCCAGGGGATGCCCTGCAGGGAGGCAGAGCAGAGCCGCGGTTTGTGCCTGGCTTCACCCCTGACCCCCAGGAGTAGCATCTGCCCTGCTCCACCAGCCACAAGCAATACCGCATGCCAGCAGGAAGTGCTCAGGCTGCCAAGGGCCCCTCCTTGGCTCAGACCCTCTCCCCAGTCTGCAGTCCCCTGCACCCGGCTGCAAGAGCCACCGCTGTTGGGGAAACTGAGGCATGAGGCAGGGAGGAGACTTGGCCACAGCAGTACTTGGGAGAACCCAGGAATGCTGGCTCCCAAGCCAAGATCTGCTGGGATTTGTGCTGTCCCAGCCTCGGGCCAGGGCAGGGCTACTCCCAGCAGATACTCTTATCTAGGCTGGCTCCAGCTGAGGACCTCCCAGTGCTCCCCAGGGAGCCCGCTTCACAGCCCAGCCCTGGGGGAGCGCTTCCTGTTATTCACAGGCGGACCCCAGTAACAGGAGAAGCTGTATGAGGTCAGCCCAATCTACACTCACCCGCAGGGACCGTAGTGTCCCGGAGCCGCCAGTTGGTGATGCCATCTCTGTTTCATCTGGGCCGGAGCAGTAGCAGGGTGGCTTGCACAGGACCTTGAGAGACAGAGGGAGGGAGCGTGACTGCAGTGCCCAGGCCAGCTGGGACAGGGGCTCCCCACGGCCTCTTCTCTGTCCTCACACACAGCCAGCCTTGCTGCTGGTGTGTGGGGGGCATGGCAGTGCAAGCTGGGGACAGTGCCCATGGCTCCAAGCTGATGACCCATCAGGGCTGGAGGTGCAGCCCCTGGGGTGCCCATAGGAGCTTGGGACCAAAGCAGGCACCCTGAGCATCCTGTGCTTGGGCTCGCTGCATGGGAAGGCTTCAGTGCTCCCTTGAGGAGAAAGGCAGCTGAGCGAGAATCCTGCTCCTGGCTCTGGAGACCCAATGGGGTCCTGTCCCCGAGAGCAGGAGACAACCCCCCTGGGCATGGTGATGAAGGGGTGGGACCCTGGTGAGGCCAGTGCCTGGCCCCTTTCCCCAGCCAGCCAGCCAGCCGAACATTGTGCCCAGACTTTTGCTGCTGTTGTGACGATGCCACAGCCTGGTATTCAGCCCTGAACAACGGGCTACAGTCTGAGCAGCTGCCCAGCTGCTCTCGTGGGAGTGGTGCGGCCGCCGGGGCACCGCGGGGTTAACAGCGGGGGCTGGGTACAGCTGCCCAGGGGGGTGAGGGCGCCATTCAGTTCCTGACTGCTGGGCCCATGCTGGGCTGCAGATGGACAGATGGACACGCAGACAGACAGATGGGCCAGAGCTCTGCAAGACGAGCCCTTTTTGGTCTTGTTCGGGGAACGTCCTCCAGCCCCTGCCTGTTGTCCCCCACCCAGTCTAAGCAGGGCAGCGCTGGACCCCGGCTGACCACATCAAAGTGGGCTGCCCTGATGGGGCCTGATCCTGTGCCTCTCTGGTGTCATTTGCAGGGGGCCTGCTGACCCCAGTCCCCAAGCAGCGAGGGAACCTCTCTCACCCCTGGTTGCCTCCTCCGGTACACCCAGATGAGGGCTGTGCCAGCCAGCTCTTCCTCCCAGGCCAGCCCACCTCCCTCAGCTTCATCCCACCACCCCCCAAAGCTGGGCTAGAGCACGGGTTGCAGCAACGCAGTCCTTTTGGCAAAGGGGGGCGAGGCGTCCTGCAGACAGATGCTAGCCCTGCAATCTGAGGAGGAAATACACTGTTCCCAGGCATGTCCAGCCAACAGAAACAGGGTGGCTCACATGGTTTTCAGCCCAGCCCATGTGCGCTTTGCATGGCCTTAACCCCAGAGCTGCTGGGTTCACACACTGGTGCACAGCGCACATTCCTCGGCACACGCCTCGCCACTGGGACCGAGGCTGGGAAATCCCCGAGGTGAGTGACAGACCAGTGCTCCTGGCAGGAACACAACCCTTCTGGACAGGAGCCCTGCTGGGGAAATAACAGGCCTGCGACACTTCTGACAACACTGAGGTGCCCGGGTGGCGTTGGAGGGTGAGATGATTCTGCCCGCCAAACCCGCAGTTCGGCAAGCGGAGCTGAGTGTATATGCATGTGTGTGCATGCTGGGGGCTCAGGGAGCCAGGCATTGCTGTACACAAACCACAAAGGAGTGCCAATATATAAAAAGCTCTTTGTCCTGCGCCAGCCCCTGGAATCATGGGATCACAAACAGAAACAGATGAGCCCTCCCCACGTGCCTGTGCTGCTATCCCTGCAGTTTACACGGGGAAATTGGGACACTGAGAGAGTGCCTCCCACGCTCACACGATGAGTCAGTGGCCCAGCTTTGAAGAGAACCCAGGAGTCCTGACCCTCAGCCTCGCAGCCCGAGCAGCAGACCCGCAGGCTGCTCCAAACCGTGGCACTGTCTCCCCCTGCAGCGGTGTGACACTTCCCACGACCAGCCCCGTTTCCAGTGCCTTCTGACTTTGCCAAACTTTAGCTGGTTGGGCTGAACTTTTCCACAACGGATGCCTGCCTCGAGCTGCAGTGGAAAAAGTCACTTCATCGCAGCACTGGGGCCATTTCCAAGAACAAGGCTGGTGGGACACGTGCTGCAATACCCACCTGAAAAGCTTCTGGGAATCTGACGTGTTTTGCAACCGCTCTGGCATGTCCCCATGATCTGGAGCAGAGACTTGAACTCTGGCAAGGAGCGAGAGGCAGCTTTTGTGTCAGGGATGTGCCTTTTGCTTGCCCCTGTGAAAATCCGCCTACAGCTGGCCCAGTTGCGAGCCTCCGAGAGGCGGCCGCTGCACGTCTCCGTTGAGACTTGCTAGGACTTTGCAGCTTAATTCCCTAACGATTCCGTCTGTCCTGGACACGCTCCAGCCCGGAGGAGGATTTTCCCTGCTCTCGCAAGTCCTGTCAGATCCAGATCCTGGCAGTGCCAATGCTATGAACAGGGCCTCTGTCCCCCCTGCATGGCCTGCCCAGTCGAGGCAGCGTGGAGGAGGAAGCTGAATACGGGGGGGGAATGCTACTCCTCAACTCACAGGGGCATCGTGTCAATGCATTCGTGAGCACTGCCCACCCATAGACCATCTACGCTGATAGGAAAGCTACCTAACCCATCTGTCATGTGTGGGAGCAGACCTCTGAACTCCATGGCATTTTGGGGGGCATCTATTTCTCAGGCATGGTCTGGAAAAGCCCTGTACCCACCCACCCACCAGCAACTACACTCCATCGCTTCCTCCCTCTGCACCAGCTTAGCAGCTCAGTGTGAGAGCAGGGGTACTGCGGGTTTGTATCTGGCTCTAGGCTTCCACCCCACAGCTTCACCCTCTCCCTTGGGCCCAAGTCTCTCTGCTTCAGCCTGGTCCCCAGCCCCAGCTGGGCTGCTAGCCCTTTCCCCCTGCCTGAGGCTGGTATGGGGGAGCTCTGGGGCATCCCCATGTGCCAGCTCCCAGCGGAGGGAGATGGGCCCTGGGGAACACTATACTTGTCCAGCATCTGGGCCTGGATGATGCCTCCTTCATACCTGGGACCCAGCTTGGGCTAGGGAAGGTCTCAGGCATTGCCAGGGCACAGCGCGGAGAATGAAGCACATGGAAACCACATCAAAGGGGAGCGTGCTCGCCCGCCCCTTTCCAGTCTGTGCTTGTGCCCTGGCACCGTGGCACTGAGCACTGCCTTGCCAGCAACACATCCCACTAGCTGGGCCATGCTCACCTGCTCCCCAGCCTGCGAGAAGCCGCCCCTCCCTCTGCCCCCAGCACCCCTGTCCTGTCAGTGTGGAAGGTCGCCCGTGGCTGGAGGAGAGGGGTGCATTGTTAGGAGGCTTGTGGCCCAGCTCTGGGGCTGGGGTTAAGCGCTTCAAGTGCTGAGACATGCAAATATTTCCACGCCCCACCGTGCAAACACTGCCGAGCAAGGCAGGGCCGGAGGGGGGGAGCAGGAACAGCCTGTTCTGTCCGAGCAGGAGAACAATTTTGGAGAGGAGGGAAGAGCCCACCAGCGAGGAGGCTGATGGGATGAGTCACCGCAGTGCTGGCTGCCTTAGTGGGCCCTGGCAGGGCACCAGGGCCGGGAGAAGGAGGGGTGCTGACAGGGAGGAAGGGAAGAGGGGGAGCATCCCAGAGGGTCTCCCAGTCCTCTGACCTTCCCACGGCCAGGCAGGGCCCCTCCCTGGCTTTGCCACCCCCTGCCCAGAGATAAGCACTCAGCTCAGCAAAGAAGTGGGAGCCAGGCCTCCCAGCTCTATCCCCAGCCCTGGGAGGGGAGTGGAGTTTAGTGGATTAGAGCAGTGGGAAGAGAGGCTGGAAGCCAGGACTCCTGGGTCTTGTTCCCAGATCTGGGAGGCACGTGCGGACCCAGGGATGACAGCAGGGAGGGTCAGGGAGCTTGCAGGCCAGCCCTCACCCGTGCATTTCTGTCAAGAGCTGCTACAGGGTTGTGGAGGGGAGATGGGATTACCTGCAGCTCCAGAGGTTATCCTTGAGGGTCTTGCTGCTCCAAGCAGGACTGTGCCTAGGCTGGAGAGGCAGAAGCCACAGTGGAGACCAGCTTCAAGCAGAACGGCTTGGCCACACCTGGCGTGCAAGCAGGAAGGGATTAGAGGGAATAAACAACACAGCACTCGGCTGAGACCTCGCAGTGCTTGGCACACGCTGCTGCCTCCTTGCACACGGTTGGGATGGGGCCCTGCCCAACCACTGTCTGTGCCACGGGGATAGCGTGTGTCTAGAACCACACACCACCTGCCCACTTCTGGCTTGAGCCCTGCTGCAGGAGAGACCCCGCCGCACCTCACCCAGGCCAGTATCACCCTCCACCACTGCATGGCACCAGCTCTGCACCCTAGTGCCTCCAAGGACTGCATTGCACTGCACCCACCCAGCCCAGCACTGAACCCCACCAGCACTGCACTCCACCACCTCCAAATATTGCACTTCACCACCTCCAAACATTGCACTGAACTGCACTGCACTCCACCCAGACCAGCACAGCACCCCTACCACCTCCAAACACTCCACTGCACCCCACCCAGACCAACAGTGCACCCCATCACCTCCAAAAATTGCATTGCACTACACGGCACCCCACCCAGACCATCAATACACCCCTACCACCTCCAAACACTACACTGCAGCCCACCCAGTGCAGTACTGCACCCCCTAGCCTTCAGGCTCTGCACTACACTGTACCCAGCTCAGCACTGCCCGCAACATCTGCAAACACTACACTGCACTGCACCCCACCCCACCCCTGCCAGACACTGCACTGCACCCAGCTACAACCACCCCCCTTGCACCCAACTGCACCCACCCCAGCACCCACCCCTCTGCCAGTACCCCACTGCCCGGCTTTCCAACTCCCAGTCACCCCGGCTGACTCTGCCCCCAACCTGATGGTGGGGATCAGGAAGCAAGCAATTAACCCTTTGCTGCCCACCTTTTACAGCTGCAGACCTGGAGCCCCATGCCCTCCTGCCTGCACGGGCTCAGAGCAGACGGGCCACCCCCAAGCCAGCAGCTACCTCTCTCCCTTGGGTGGCAGCTCCCGGCTGCCAGCGTGTCCCTCCCAGGCTTGGTCCCAGGCTCCAGCCTCTCTGCAGAGCCTGTCTCTGTTGCAGGGCAGGATGAAGGCATGTGTGGGGGCAGAGGGGAGATTCTTCCTCCAGAAATAGCCTGGGCCCGTTCCAGCCATCAGCCAGCTGGGTGCCCGGGCACAAGGCCCTGCCCGAGTCCTTCCTCCTGGCCTTGCTCTCTGGCTGGGGAAAGGGCACTCTCCTCACCTCACCTCACCCCACCCCACCCCACCCAGCTCCCAGAGGCTTTGGCACCGAGCGAGACATGCCAGGTCCAAAGTACCCACTGTGTGTCACGATGCCCACGCCGCTCCCACCACACCGGTAGTGCCATGTACCCCCTGGCGCCAGCGGGAGGTTTCTCTCCCCCA